TGTGTGCTTATAATGAGGGATTTATATGATGTGATTGTACAGGGGGTGACTATAGAGGGGGACGACTGTATATATATTAATTGAATATTTGATATATAATAATAAATGAGTATTACTTTATATCAGTGATCTATATTAGAACCTTATTTATTACTAATAAATGTTACTGGTGAAAATTTTAATTTTATATATAATCTTATTTTAGGATTTTATTGGTTAAGTAATTAACAAATAAAAAATTTAACATAAAATTTTCTTTTATAATAAAATCTTTAAAGAATTTTATATATAAACTTATCTTACGTTAGAAATAACATATTAATAGTAGACAGATCCTTTTATATTATACAAATATTTTTAATAAATTAAATTAAACTATTCAATAATTGTGATTAAATACATTTTGTTAACTAAAGCATTTTAGTTGTATTTATATAAATATTCTATATAATTTTATTAATAAAATTAAATAAATAAATTAAATATAAAAATATATAATAAATAAACTAAAGATAAGAGACAAAATCCAAAAAAACCATTAATAAAAAGCTGAAATTATATTAAAATATAATGAAGAGTACAATGAAATCTTAAAACTCAAAATTAACTGAAACTATATTAAAAACATAGTAAAGGATATGACAAAATTATTTTGAGAAAATTTCAGCAAGCATCTTTAAAGTAAACTTAATAAACTAAGAAAATAATATAAATTATGTTGATATTATTTGATGTCTATATTTTATATAATAATAATTTAATTTTATATATTATCATAAGAAATAATTCTTTAGTCATATTTTTGTTTAAGTTACTTTACTATAACAAGTAAGTTTCTTATTATCAGATTTTACAACTTTAAAAAATTTTACATTTTACAGATATCCAGAATTTCTTAGAATTACTTCGCTTAATTTTACAAACTTAAAAGTTTAGGGTCTTAGAAAAACTCAAAGAATTTATTTATTCTAAGTGATGAATTTAAAAGTAAGTTAATGTAATGATTCACAATTAAATTATAGATGATAAACACATAAAAGAAAAAATAAATATATTTTAAAGTTGATTCCTTTATTTATTACTTGAAACTTGCAAATGTTATAAAACTTATAAGAGAGTTAATTTACAATTTAAGCAAAAAGCTATTTTATTTGTACAAAATTAATTTGCTACAGCTAACTATTCATTATGTTATAAATTAATTAAATTTGTAATTATAAGTGTTAGTATATAAGATATAATAAATATGTAAAGTATAATAAATATAAGTAAGATAACAATTATAATGAATATAATAAAAATAATAAAATAAGTGAAATCAGAAATATTAGGCTTATAAGAAATAAGAAATATGGGAGCTGATCTATTAAAAGTGGGTTACGAGACATAGTAAATCATATGATTCGTACCTCAATTTTAATAGAATACTACCTATATATTAAAAATCAGGTAAATCAGAAATTATGCAGATCTTCTAATTTGTAATTAAATTCCAGTAATTTCTGTAGATAAATTTTTCAATAATGAATTTTTAATTGGTAATAATATATTAGTGTAATAGTGTAAATATTTATTATAAAATATTTTAGTAAAATAATGATATTATAAAATAAATTTAGTAAAAAACCAATTAATTTTTATTAATTAAAATTTACAAAATAAAAAGTTTAAGCTTTCTAAATACTTTATATTAAATATAATAAGATTTATTTATAAAACTATTAAAAGTAAGAAAAGATATATAAAGAAAATTATTTTAAAAACTAGAAAAATATAAACTTTTGAACATTTTATAATTCCTAAATTATAAAAATACTTGTATGATTTATCTATTACTATAAGACTTTTTTAAATTTTATTTTAATATTAATAGTAATATAAATCTTTTTAATAATATGAATAATAATTCAAATAAATAATTTATATCTTATTATTAAGAAATTCAAATATAAAAAATATAATCCTATATAATTTATGGTTTAATGAACTATTATTATAATTATTCAAATACAAAATTATTTGATAGAAATATTAATAAAAAATTTATATTAATTAATTTAAGAAATAAGATGTATTATTATTATAAAAGATCATAAGCCATTTATTTAACTTTTAATTTAAAAAGTATATAGTTGAACTTTAAAGTTAGGTTAAGCAAATGATGTATTATTTTTAAAAATGGAAAGATGTATTAATTATCAATCACCATTATTCATTTTTTTAAGACTGTAGAAATCTTATCTAATATAAAAACTGATTAATTTAACAATGTAAAGAAATCCAAAACTAGTTGAATATACTGATATTTTAATATGGGATACGTAGTAAAATTGTATTTTAATTAATTTTAATATTATATAATAAAATAACAATAATACAGTATATAATTTGTAAGTTTAAAAAGATAAAATTATTAAATAATTTATGTTTTTTGAACTTAACATTCAAATTAAAATATTTAACTTGTTTTTCTTCATTTTTAGATTTCTAACAATTATAAAAGATTAAACATAATAGAAAAATATTCCGAAAAGTTAGAAATACTATTAGTTATAGTTATAACCAGTATAACTATAATTAACACCAGTCAAAAACTTTTAACTGATCGATCAATTCAAAATTTTATATTTTTATTTAATCTAACGGTTTACTTGGTTCTATATTAGTCCATCCGAGATGTTCTTTTTCAAAACCAAATTCTTTACCAGAAAGTATTTAAAATGAAAAAACGTTTGCTACTTCGAAAGTCTGATTGTGAATGACACAGAGCATATGAATGCAAGGTGTGATGATTAATGCAGTAAGCTTAAGTCCAATACTTTTGAGACGATAACAAAAAAATACATTATAACAAGAATAAATATAACAATTCAAATAAAAGACATTTTAGATTTCATATTTAACACATTTATTTATTTAAGTTAAAATTTAAGTTTAAATATCATACATAATAAATTAATCTTACAATATTTCTTTGTTTGTTCGTTTGAAACAGAGAAGTTTAAAATTGCTGTTTTGATGCAATTTAAGCAAGATAAGATGATGAGCTCACGTTGCCGCCATGTCCAGTCCAATTAACATGAACATCAGTATCTTTAGGATGCTTTTCATCAGCATATTCGTCAAGGTACCTGAAAGTATGGGCACCGAAATAATCTCTTTGAGCCTAAAAATTTAAGAGAATTGGGTTAAATAAAATATTTGTTATGATTAGGCACAATTTAAATCGTTTCAACATTACCTGCAAAAGATTAGCTGGCAACTTTTCATGTCTGTAACCATCATAGAAAGCCAAAGCAGTTGAAAATGCTGGAGTTGGAACACCAAGAAGAACTGCTTGTGAAATAACATATCGCCAGGAATCTTGAGCATCATCAATAGCCTTCTTGAAAAACGGATCAAAAAGTAAATTCTCAAGTTTTGGATTGTTAGTATAAGCATTCTTAATGTCACCAAGGAAAGCGCTATATATAAAAAGAATTTATTTTAAATTAGAGATACATTTACTTGAATTGGTTACAATCAATTTGAAAAGTTTATAAATACCTTCTAATAATACAACCACCACGCCACATTAAAGCAATACCAGCATTATTCAAATCCCAGTTATTATCTTTAGCAGCTTCGCGCATTAACATAAAACCTTGAGTATAAGATATTAATTTTGAGGCATATAAAGCTTGTCCTAATTGTTTAACAAATTGCTTTTTGTCACCACTATATTTAGTATTATTTGGTCCTTTCAAGATTTTACTTGCACGAACACGCTCATCTTTTAAGGCTGAAAGCGTACGAGAGTAGACAGCTTCACCAATTAATGTAACTGGGACACCGAGATCAAGTGATGATATGGCGGTCCACTTTCCAGTACCTTTCTATAATTACAAAAAGAAAACAAAAAGTTAAGTTACTTATAAACATAATATATTTATAAAATTATGAAATAAAATATTTTACTTACTTGACCAGCAGTATCCTTAATTTTTTCAACTAAGGGTGTACCATCATCGTCCTTAAATCTCACGATATCTTTCGTGATGTCAATCAAGAAGGAGTCCAGTTCGCCTTTATTCCAAGATACAAAGACTTCAGCAATCTCATCATGACTGAGACCGAGCCCTTCTTTCATTAAATGATATGCTTCGCAAATAAGTTGCATATCACCATATTCGATACCATTGTGGACCATTTTAACATAATGACCGGCACCAGATTCACCAACCCAATCGCAACATGGTTCATCTTTAACTTTGGCAGCAATAGATTGGAAAATGGGTTTTACATGTTCCCTATTAATAAAATTGATTTAGACTTTTTTTTTTAAAAACAAATTTTTTAATTAAAAAAAAAAAATAAGATTTATTATGCTTATTTACCATGCCTCTTTAGAACCTCCAGGCATAAGAGATGGACCATAGCGAGCACCATCTTCACCACCAGATACACCACAGCCGATAAACAAGAAACCTTTTTCTTCCAAATATTTGCATCGACGAATTGTATCTGGGAAATGCGAGTTACCACCATCAATAATTATATCTCCGTTACTAAGATGAGGAATGATTTGCTCAATAAAAGCATCAACAGCAGATCCAGCTTTAACTAAAAGCATAATCTTTCGCCGTCTTTTCAATTTTTTAACAAGATCTTCAATAGAACTAGCGCCAATAATATTGGTACCTATATTATGTTAAAATTTATTTAAATAATCATAATATTGAATGAGATGATGTCGGATAAAAATAACGTGTATATATTATTTACCCTTGGCTTCATTTTTTAAGAAGTGTTCCACCTTGGATACAGTTCTGTTATAAGCAATTACAGTATATCCATGATCATTAATGTTAAGGATCAGATTTTGACCCTAAAATTAAAAATCAATCAAACTTAGTTTATTATTATACTAGGGACCGTTGTTAAGTCCGGCAACTCAACTTTTGAGGCAGAACATTTTTGTGTCACCATGCATAGACATTTATAGTCTACGGACTAATAATTTAACTTAATTAATACATACCATAACGGCAAGGCCAATAAGACCAAAGTCTCCACTACATTAATAAAATAATGAAATGATTAATATGACTCGGATATAAACTTTTTTTTTTGGCCAGCATCGATTAAAACGAAAAGCTATTAGAGAAACCAGTTTAAACACAGGAATCTTTAATTATACGCGTTTATCTTAAGCAAACTTATACTAATAACCATGTTTATTTCTTTGTTTTAAAGCGAAAATTAGTAGACTTCCATAGCTTTAAACTTACACTGGTTCACTCATATCTCGTTACGCTAAAATAATAATAATAATAAAAAAAAGGACGTTACAGAATTCGAATGTATTTTTTTAAAAGTTTGTAACTTGAAAAAAAACCAGGGGGATTTTTTATACCGCTTTTTTCTTTTTTATGCCACTTTTTATGCTTAATTTTTGGGTAGTATGAATCATTTTAGCTAAATTTGTTCCGGAAAAGGTTAATAAATTTGGGCAAATTTTGAATTACACGCGATTATGTCATACATGTGTGACATATTTTTTTTATTGGTTGGCAGGAAAATCAATTAATTTACGAAACAATTACGAAACGAATGCGAAACGTTATTATTATTGATATTTTTCATTCTTCCAATAAATCAAAATGTTTTTGATTAAAATGATATTCTTGAATGAAATATTTTGCTTTGTTTGCTATAATTTTCCTTGATTTCTAATGTTTGAAACGCAAAAAATTAATTTTAGTGATTTTCAGTCGATTACGATTACTAATCATTAAAACATAACTAGTCTCGCGAAATACTGCGTCACGCATTTGAACATTTCTCAAAGAAAGGTTTAAACAGTTTTTTCGTTCGTTGTAGTCGTTGTAGTCTACATTTACTTATTTGCTTTGGCATTATTCCTAGATTGTGAAAAAAAAAATTTCTAATAAAAGTAATATAGCAAATGTTTAATTTCAATCACCGAAATGAATATTTGAAACTCCTAATTAAATTATCTTTTTAGACTGTTTAGGGACTCTGGAATTTTTGAAACAAATTTATGTTTCTTAATCCCCTAGATCGCAGGACATTTAACAATTTTAGTTCACAGAGACACTGTGTCACAATTTTTTTTTATGATCCTCTCTGGTGTATCCATTTAAAAATATTAATTTAATATGGCCAATATGACCTAAATTAAGATATCAAATTTATCCAAGTGTAATTATCTCAAATACTGTATACGAAAGCATATGATCTTTATTTCGTTCTTTAATAAGTGAATTAACGTTAACAAATCGATAAATTATACAATTTTAGATATCAAACAATACTAGATCATGGTTGTTTTGAGAACTCTGTATAATATCTTCAATAGATAACGGGTGCTTTCTTTGATTAGTTTAGCGGCTATTTACGCTCAAAGAACAATTCATTACTTTCCATGCTATATTTTAACAAGTTCCATATTTGTGCTTCAAAGGATTACTTTTTTTACAGACATTGGCCTTGTTTTGTAGCAACAATATTTTTGCTTAAAATAATTTTAAATTAACATGTGTAATTATTTATAAATACAAGGCGAACTTTTTTCTATAATTTGCATTATTTCAATTAATATTTTCATTCATTTTTATATTATCTATAGTAATTTCATATGTTAACAAATATTATTGGCATTTTTATTTTATCTTGCTATTAGATAAGCAAATAAGCTAATATAATTTAAATCCTATTTTATTTGTGATCTGTAATATTATTAAATTATGATATTATATTTCAAATTTGATCTAATATGCAATATAAGATATTTTATAATAAAAGAAAATCTGCTTTTCTCTATCAGTTAAATTTACAAATAATTTTAAAATAAATTAAACAATTATCTTACTTAACTTTTGAAATACAATTTTTGTTAAATTTTTAATAATAATTATTTTCAAATAATTAATAATTAATCTATTTATAAAAAGTTATATAATGTTACAATCAGTTCTTTTATATTGCTTAGAAGTTATAAGCGGACAGATAATATAGGTGGTAAGCAGAAGGTTTAATTTGTAATTGAGATATGGTAAAGTATATATATCGGTTGTTTATTTGATATGAAATAACAAATGAGTACTACTTCAACATCATTGCTCTGTACTGTATAAATGTTTTAATATAATCAAACTAAACTATTCAATACTTGACTCTTGTCTCTATCTTTCACTGAACTAAACTCTCAACTGTATCTATATAAAATAAAATATATAGATCCATTAATGATGTAAACATAATAAATAAACTAAATATAATAAATAAACTAAATAAACTAAGTAAAATAAATATAATATGTAAACTAATAAAATAAATTAATTAACTAAACTAAATAAATAAGGTAAACGAAGTAAATGACATTAATGATATAAACTTAGTTTTATTGATCTACATCAAGTAGATCATTTGAATAATTTTTGTATAATAATAATATAAAATATAATTATTTTATTAGTTAAATTTATTAATATTATATATTTATAACTAATTATATATTCTTTTTGAATTTGTTAAATATAAATATAATATTATGTATTTAATAATTAGAAAATTATGTATTATATATATTATATATTAATATTTTATAATAAATTTAATTATAATTTATCAAAAATAAAATTTTATATAATATAATACTTATATATATAAAATATTTTTTCTAACGTTTATATTTTTATCTAGTAGTTAATTCTTTACTTATTAATATTATCTAAAATATAAAAATTCTTTTAAATATAAAATATATTAAAATTTATTAATTATCAATATTAAAATAATGATTTTATATTTATTTTTTTATAATTTTTTAAAAAAAAATTATTAAAATTTAGTTAAACTAAAGAACAGAATCCATTTAAAGTCTGAAGCATGATATATAAAAAATTATAATATCATATTTCACATGATTAATTATTTTATAATACAAAAGACATAATACATAATAATGTTTTATCTAACTTAAACTAAGGATGCAGTCATATGGAAGCGTTCAGTAAAAAAAGGGAAAATCTAAATTTTGGTCAAATTTATATTATTAGACTACTTGGCTGATCTCAGTCATATACACAAAATTAGCTTAATAATTAAAATTAACAAAAATTTTGATTTTTCCCTTTTCTACTGTTACCCGAAAAATAGGACGTTTATTTTTAAGTAAGAGGTTGAGTTCGTTATGTTATAAATTCTTAGTTGATTTGATGAAATATCCTTGATCGCTGCTGCCACCTGTCGTCAAAGATTATAAATTCATCATAGCCTTTTAAGCTGAATCACATAGCGATTCATTTAAGTATGAAGACTTAATGAATCACAATAAAGGTTACATGTAAGTGGGTTACACAAACATTATGAGAAATAAATAAAAGAACAATTTTGTTAAAGAAAGTGTTTTATTATTAAAATATTATAACGTTATAAGTAATTGCACAATCATCAATACTAATTCTCTGCATTACATTACTCCTAGATTAATTACTTCTCTATATCACCCCCTTTTTAATAATTCCAACTTGCTTTATTTATACATTTTGAATTGATCTAAAATTATAGATATATTAGATAATTATTATATAAGGATTGCCTTTAACTATCTAATCATTGCACAATTATTACTACATATTTCATTGCATAGTTACTACATCATGGTTACATAAGAATACTAATTTCCTAACTATGATTTCATATCTTTTCATAATTACTACATTTACTCCTGATTTTTAGATGTGGCATATCGTATCACATAACACTAATTTCATTGATCAACATTTCAATTTATGATTACATTTCTATTATGAGATCGTTTCTGCAATTATGACGAATATTAATCATGTTTTTTGTATCACATTTCTAATCATGTGATTTGCTGTACCTTATTTTCACTTGGGTAACACTACTAACTGCTTCCTATATCAGTACTATAGAATTGTAACCTTTACATATAAGTTAATACAGCAATACAACATTGCTATATGCTATAACTAATGTTATTTATTGTGACTAGTATTATTTACCATAACTAGTGTTATCTGTCATAATTAATGTAATTTGCTATAATTATTTGCTATAACTAATATAAAGTCTTATAAAACTGCAGGTAAATTCTGTAAAAGTTCATACAACAGTAAGCATATGAATTAGTATAAAAAGTCGATAGTTAAGAATATTATTATTTAAATATATATAAAATAAAATGTAAAATTTTTTTAAATTCACTTTTTTTTACTTAATGTATTTTTCATTTGTCACATTCAAAAAATTAATTATAGAAAAAAATAGAAAGTACATTAGTGATACTGAAAATAATCTTTTTAAACGACAAAAAATAAATAAAAAAAATAATTCTAAAAAGGATGAAATATGAGAATAGGAATTGAAATTGATTTGCGAAAATTGATTTAACATAATAAAAAAATCAAATTTAATTAAATCTTTTTTTATTTTTTACATATTAATTGATCTAACTCTAAAGTATTTTTCAATCTGCCTAAGTATTGATCATTTTGCTAAAATTAAAAACTGGTATGAAGCCAGATTGAACGTTTATGAAAAAAAAATTAGAGATTCGATTAAATTGATTCTAATTTCTATATGAGAATACTTTATAATAGGTGATAAAAAAATGATAGACACTATCCTGCAACTTGTTATTATTGTAAAAGAAAATAGCAAAGAGGTAAACTGAAAACTTTAAAAGTTTATCTTTCTAATGAATGTTTGCAATGTTCTGAAGATATTAGAAAATATTGATAAGATATGCTTTCTTTTGAATTAATAAATTATACTCACAAACAGAAAACTCTAATTCAATTATCATTAAAATAACACCAAATAATTTAATACTTCAGTTCAAATAAACCTTTGCCACTAGCTATAACTAAACAAATTAACTGATTATTACTGAAAGCATAGGTAATGATAGGAATTTCTTTTAAAATAATTGACAACCCTTTTATTTGTGATCTATTTCAAGAAATTAATCTGGGATACACTCCTTTATCAAAAATAATATTGTCTGGCTGATTATTAGATCAAAAAGTTACTCAAGTTTCTCAAAATATTAAAAAAGAGTTAGAAATCTCAAACTATTTAATATTAAGTAAGAATCAGAGTTTTAATATTAAAAAAATTGTATTTATTTATTAAAAATTTACTATATATATATAATTATCATATGTAATTTATTTTTATTTTTATATTTAATAAACTTTAATATTTGATAAAATATTATATTTATAATATTTTAATTAATTATTATATTAT